CCTCAAAATGTGCGGCACGCCCTATAGTGCGGTGCGCCCTATGTGTGTTGTTACTGCGGACGTTGTTGAGACCACCATGAGAACGTTAAAGGGGCATTGTGGGCATGGATTGTGTATAATAGAACAAGTTTGTGTTTTATGCAGAACGGAGACCAGGTGGTTTTTTCCACGCATCACCATCGCTGTTAATCTGTGACTCCATGCGTGCCCATCTCACAGCCGATGTGAAAAACATGGTGAAACAAATGAACGCAGTGCTTGCTGTTATTCCGGGAGGTCTGACAAAGGAACTTCAACCGCTCGACATCGTAATGCTACTTTCACGCGTCTGCTGCTTCATTTTTGCTGCTTGTACCAGTTATGCTACGTTCACACCGGACGCAGCTGGCGCAGCAAAATCGCGTCTGCTGCTGGGTGGAGCTACTCTATCCTTTCTTTTCTTTGCCTTGCAGCTATATTTGCTGTGATCAGTGGGAATAAAGTAGCCTAGTTTTAATATGTTTTTAAATGAGAAAGTCCACCTGAAAACATCATTGCAGTCAGTTCAGCCAGATTACCATCCTGCCTTCTAATACCAATCAGCTGGCTGCAGGCAACCTGCTAATAGTTTTCACACTTTATTTACGTGAAATATCTCAAGATGCAAAAACACACACAAATACATCTAAATATATATAGGCCTATGTATATGTGTTTGCATCCTGAGATATTTCATGTAAATAAAGTATCACTGGAGGGGAAGTGAACGTCTTCAAACCTTGGAAACCAAGTCCAGTGGATTGTTTTTTTTTTTTTACTTTTACGGAATGACAATTACCTGGATGACTGAAATCTTCATCAGCATATAAACAACTGTCATCCATTTTTATTAAAATAATTGAATAGATAACTTAGTAAATATAGAATTTCATCAATGACATTAGGATTTATGGCTTTGCAGAAAAAAAAAGAAGAAAAAAAAGGAACAGCTCATGGCGGCAGCAGCTCAGAAGAAGCTAGGATGTACGTGACCGACCTGAAGGCAGCACCAGCCCCTGCTCGGGAGCAGAGGGCCAGACCGCAGAGCTCTTCCGGAGGCGGATAATCCCCTCATCTCCTCACGCAGTTCCAGAAAGGATTTGCTCTGACTCACCTACAGGAGGACACCTTCTGGCAGCTGCTGCAGTTTACCACTATAGGAGAACCCTGGATGTGCGCAAATATGGATCCTTGCGTCTCCCTTTGCGCCTTGTGGTGTAAATAGAGCAATTTACTGAGTGGATAATGTGGCAGCTGCTGCCTGGGAGGAACTATTGAAGTCTGTCACTTCTTTATAAACAGTCATCATTTCGGCAGCATGTCGCTGACGCTCAGTCTGGCTTTAGGTGTAACTGTTCTCTGGCGCATCAGCGGCGAACCGCTGACTCCTTCAACTGCGACACATTTAAACTCAACATCCACCTCCGTCATCCATGAAGGAGTGACGAGTAAAAACGCCACGGAAGATGCTTTGGGATCCCCGATGTCACCTTTGATGACTTACCTGCCAACTCTAAAAAACGTCGTTATTTTGATCTGCGTGCTGACAGCTGTCCTCATCACATGCCTGGTGATCAAAGTGATCAGGTGGGTTATAGTGAACAGCTTTATTTAAATACTATTAATGTAGCTGTTTGATATGATGCTCTGATATATAATCTACATTTATTTTTCATGTTAAGCTTAAGATTTATTTTGTCAAATCAATTTCACTAAATTTATGCAGCTTCTGCAAACATATTTTGTAATTTAGCAGCCATTGGGATTATATTTGCTCTTAAATTATTATTTAAACTTCTCATCATATTAGAATAAAAATTATTCTCAAATGTGAAAAAGAAGACAAACTTTGTAATTTAAGTAAACAAAGTAACCTGTTTTAATATTACTATTTGTTAAGGTGCTGTACAGTAAAAAAATAAAGCTGTGTGGTTATAAATAAAAGACAATAAAAGTGATCAAACTAAGAAAATAGAACACATTGAATACAATCTGAGTAACTATAGAATAGAAGACTAGGAACTGATGAAATAAACAAAAATTAAATGCTAAAATGCATAAAGAAAGTTCTTAAATCTAAATGCTTAACAGAAATATCTGTGAATTTATATAAAATAATAAACACTACAAACAGCTACACAGCTGTATGAAAATAATGGCAAAGATTAAATCATTTATATGAGTTCAAATTAAAAAAATGGGTCTTTAGTCGCATCATTGTGTTAGAAAATTAACAAAACAAACCTTGATAAGAGTTCTGATATAAATCTCCTTCCAGTTCCACCCCATACATTCAGTGTCCTTCATTCCTGAAACCTTTCAAAAAAGCCAATTATATGTTACTATGTGAATGAGGGAAATGTTTTGTAGACTTCTTTCAGCCAGCTGACCAGCAGTGCCCAGCTGCAGATCAGGGAGGAGCAACATTGTGTTACTCCAGAAAAATAGAAATGTTTATAAACTGTAACTATTAACTATCTTGGCGGGCCTTAAAAGGCTAAGATTCCTAAAAAAATGCTGAAAGACTTATTGGTCTTACGTTGGTACAACAATCACCTAAAGCCTTTTTAGCTATGTTTTTCTATAAGTAAGAAAAATAATAACAATATGCTGTCTGGTTTAGCCAGTAGTGGTTTTAGACCAAATGTACCAGGGGGCCAGGAAGGGGCCAGCGTGTTTTAATGGGGGTACAGAAAAGTATGAAATAAAAAACAGGAAAGGGATTCAAATATTTTAATATAGCTGCATGAAGTGAAATTTCTATTCAATTGGGTTTAACTAAAATTCTATATCTTATTAGGTCAATATCCATTCATAATTTAGGAATTTTACATATTTTTGACTTAAATCAAGTTAAAATTACAGTTTTTTAATAAATCTGAATTAGAACTCAAGAAAACTAACAACTCAGAGCGACCACAGCACTTCAGTTCTTCTCTTCTGTTTTCTTTCTGTAGATCTGGCCGAAAAATCAGGAAAACACGAAAATACGACATAATTACCACACCGGCAGAGCGGGTGGAGATGGCTCCTCTGAACGAGGAGAACGACGACGAGGATGACTCCACTCTGTTTGATGTCAAATACAGGTCTGTTTCTTTCAGAAGACCAAACACATGCAGCATGTTGTTGCAGCATGCTGTTCATTTAAAAACTAACCAGAGACAGTCTTCAGCTTTTAACCGCACTGTCTAACTTTGATAAAAGCAAACTGGTTTATTTAATAAAAGAATTGCTGGTGGTGGAACTAAAGGAGTGAAAAGCAGCAGAGCTGTAAAGGCTATGAAGAGAGATTCCTGTGCTCCTCCCAAAAAGTAAACTTAAAGACAACCCCAGATTAAATTTCTACTGTGTTAGTTTTGCATGTACTCATTGCCTCTTTCTGCTTGTGTTATCACTGTGGACATAAAGCTGAATTTGTTTGCATGTAAAGCAGCTCGTACTTTGTCTGTAAAACTTTGCAGATAAGATTCCTGACATACTAAAGCAGCTCGACCTCCTCCTGTTTCTACTGTGTAAAAACTTTTAACGACACAAAGGGGGTTCGGAAAATTACTGTAACCCATGAGAACCATAAAAGTCAGCTTTTTGAACATGCAATCAAAGAAACATGTTTCCTTTAAAGCGTTAGCACAGCTACAATGTTGATTTTAGGTTTCACCCTTCCGTATGTCGATTGTTCCTTAACTCTCGCGCACACCAAAGCACTTCCTGAGGGGAAGACATGACGTCCTGTTTACCTGACATTCCTGACTTCCAAATCAGATGGGAACTTACTTCCTTCTAGTTTCTTTATGCGTTACGACGGCAAACCTCTAAGACTAACAAGCTTTTCTCCTTTTGATTGCAGGTGAATCCAACTTGGGACAACTGTTGTCTTTCTAACAGTTTTTTCCACCTCAACCCAACGTCAGTGATTTTGCCATCAAAGTGTCGTCATGCCAACGACTTCTGCAGCTTGTGTTTTACCTGCGTTGCAAATGAACAGATGTCATTGTCTACTGTAATGCAAGGATTGTTTCATCACGCTATCTAGATAACTTGCTCAGTGTTTCTTAAATAAGACATCATATGGATGGAACTCCTCCATCAAACTTGAAATGGTTTGGAGTTATCCTTTCTAAAAAACTGTCCTCTTCATTATGACTTTAATCTTTGGATCTTGTTCAACCCTGAACTGATGTATTATGATCTAAGCTGGAGGTTAAAGGAAACAAATTTATTTCCTGCCAGTGAGGGTTTTAAAAAGATAAGAAGCACAAAATGTTGGTTTCTACAAACCTCAAATTGAACTTGTGAGCTCCACTATTATATTTATGTTTTACCCACTAACCATCTGATTGTGAATATATACTGTTAGTTTTTTTTTATTTTTTTTATTTCAGATTCAGTTTTGGTTTGCTGCTATCGAGCTGATCTTAGTCAGTGTTTTAAAGCTGGACTTCAGAATACCCTCAGGATGTCTGTTAAAGTGTGTTTGCTGAGAATGTGAATGCTGTCTGCCGTCATTGAAGCTGTTTAACCAGGACTGATCTGCTGGAGCTGTAGGTTCAGTGGTTAAAATAACACCATGACAACATGTTGCCAGTGTTACAGAGTCAAAACAATTTAAACATCTCTCAGTTAGGGTCCTGAAATCTGATCTCTCTTGTGTACATAAAAAAAAGGTATTTTCTAGAGCCTTTCAAGAAATCCGCCTTTAGCTTGCAGCATATTTTCCCACAGAAGAGCCTTTAGTTTTGTTATTGCTTAATAATTTGCTAAAACAAATAAAAACACATCTTTTTTTTTCTGAAACTACAATAAAAATGTACACTGAGAATAAAAACACTCCCCTATAGAATTTCGGACTTTAAAAAGCTGCAGCTTATTCTGTTTTGTATACATTCATGTCAGTGAAATCACGAGGCGCACAACGAAGCCAATAAGCTGGCATTGCTAAGCATCATAGCGGACGAGTGACTTGACAGATTTAAGAACCTAAGTTCATGTCTATCTGATTACATATAGTCCAGTTTCCCCACTCATTTAATTAGGAAATGTTTCTTGGATAGCCTTAAATAACTTTGTGTTGACTAGCAACTATTTTCACCAGCGCCCCATTTTACAAACCAGGGTTAGAGGTCAAATCGTGCGTACCCTGGCTTTTCTGTTGCAGGAAGCTAGGAAGCCATTCACCTGAGTACAATTTTGACGACCGTATGAAACAACCCAGCTCAGTTTGGACAAACTCTATGCAATATTTCCTACTTTTTAAGCTGAGAACTGCACAAGGAAGTGTTGAAAATGGCGTCGCCTTTTCTGGACAAACTTGTTGAGATCCGAGTGCAGATACTCTGGAGATATCTATGTCAGGATGAGGTGCTTAGAATATCTCTTGCTTAAAGACATTGGATTTTAGACATTGGCACTTAATAAGATTAATTTACCATTTTCATGTTCTTATTAACGTTAACAATATGGAATTAACAGTGTCAAGAAGGCCTGTAATACATTACATGTTTGGGGAATCACTCAGCAATCATTTATGCCTGGTATGGTACACCTTGAGATATTCAATGCATACACAAAAAAATGTGATGCCCACATTGTAAAACTTTCTGAAAAGGAATTTGAAAAGACATTTATTTGCAAACACAACATATAAATATAAATTTTATGGGTCAATATTAAATCTATATTAATGAAATGTATTTCTAGAGCTGATATCTATATATATAACTGTTACATTTATGGGTAAATCTATATCTTGTATCTAAATTTTACAACTAATAAATACAAACCTTACATCTATATGTTGAATCTAAATATATATCTTGAATGCTGGGTAGATTTACATTTATAATAAAATATAAACACTAACTTTTATGTGCCACTCTATACGTGACAATCGTCCTCTGTCATTTAAAAAAAACATAAAATTCTGTTTACTTTTAATTGTTTAATAAAATCATAAAGGACACAACTGGACACCTGATAATTTCTTTAAAAACACTTTGTAATGTAAAGCTTTAATCTAAGTTAAATGGAAAGAGGTGGTTTCGTATCTATTTCCTGTGCTGTTTTCACAGTTAAATCTCGTAGATAAACCAACTGAAGCTGCTATCTGCCCTTGTTTTGGTTTTTTTGTATTTCAGTTTTTCTAAATGTTTTTAGAAAGAAAAATAAACCACTAAACAGATAACATCCCGTGGCAAATTCCTTTTCTGTGTTGAATTCCAGTTTCTTTTCTGGAATTTGGTCCCTAATCAAATTCTGCTTTTGGCCCCACACAGTTCTGTGCCAGCTCTTTAGATCATTGTTTTTCTTTTTTTCTTTTTTTTTACGAAAATTCATATATTTAGTGGACTGAATGTTTTTTGATTTGTTTAGGACCAAAAATGTGTGCAGAATTGAGTGTCTTCTTTCATCTACCTTTCACAAACTGTACATTATTTCTTTAGCACCATTAATGTGTTTGACCATTCCTCACGTTGGGATATTTTTGAATTATATTTTTTGGCTCCATGACCAGAAACCTGCTGACCAGCTAAATTCCTCTCAGGCTTGTACCGTTGCAGTTGTCATGTATTCCCTTTTTTTGTTGTTGTTTTTTTTAAACAAATAAAATTGTGGAAAAATCATCATCATGTAGAGATGCTTATAATAGACTTTTATTGGTTTGAGTCGTCTGCTACACAGAGTTGCTCTTGTTTAAACAAATCAGTTGTGGCTGTGAAGACATTTAAATAAAGCAGTTAAAACAGTTTAAGTGTTTCTGGAAAACAAGTTCGACCCAGATGTGTCGTGTAAAGCGGTCTTTTCTTCAGTTTCCATGTCTTTACAACACTACTGGAAAACCGCATCTTTTTAAAGCGTGGAATCTTTAAAGGGAAAAGCCTGGAATATTTCCCGGTCTTGGTCTTCTGTGTTACATTCACACCATCACAACCGAGCTGTTCAAGCATCCATTAGCTATACCACACAGGTTACAAATGCTACACAGGTTAAGACAACAGTAAAAAAATTACAGATTCTGTACATGTTGGAAAAAAACAAAAAAACAACAGAACAGAATCCCCTTATCCCTGTCTGAGAGGGAGCGACATGTTAGAAAGCGTTCCAAACTGCTGCAAATTCCAGATTCTGGGTTAATTAACCCTAACAGCATTGGCCACCAAATGTTTCTATATTTACACATCTCAGACAGCATCTCACAAATAAGCCTTTCATTGCTCTGGTTTGCTGACGTCTCTGCTGCAACTTTCATGTCTATTCTTAACTTAATTGGGCGGGGTAATAAAGGCCAACATGCAAACCAGAAGTCACATCTTTTCAAAAACTCCCAGAAAACAGCATTTTTACGGAGGAAAATCACATGGCTGCGAGCGCATGAGACTTATCTTGTTGTGCAGCAGAGAAGGTCTTGGAATACTTCAGATGTTTCTGCTTATTCTTGTTAACAGGAGCATTTTCAATTACAGCGAAATAAAAAAAAGATGCATATCTAGAATACAAAAACAGCTGCTAGAAACCTTTAACTCAAGCAAAACTTCAAGAAAGTATAAACATTTTAAGCCACAAAGTGTTTTGGCCTTCAAGTCAATACTTAATGACTTAAAACATGTCAGCCCTAGAGTTGAACATTTTTGCACATCTTTTTAGCACTTTAATGTGAACATGGTTTATTTACTACTATTTAGAAATATGAGGACATATGCATCAACATGCTGTTGCTTTTAACGGTATTAATCCTGGACTTTGAATCATTTATTTGAAAAGCTCTTTTTGTAGGTTAAACCATTTTATTCAACATAATATAATCAAGTTCTGTTGGATTCCCTTTAAAAAAAAAAAAAAGGACATTTAAACAAGTATTTGCTGTTGTCTGAGTGAACAATTTTCATTCTGGTTCAAATACATTTGAAATAAATGTCCCTAGTTAAGTTGCACCATAAAGCTTCTGGCTGATTTTTCAACACATTCTTTGCAGGGTTAGTTCTCATTAATATGGTTGGTAATGATGTTTTAAGGCTATAGTTTAAGTATTTTTCAATGAGGGACAAATGGGGACATGCAAAAATCTATTTTGATGTGTGTTTTGGATCATTGTGTTGTTAAAACAGCCAGAAGTTGTCCATTTTTTTTAGTCATTAATTCCAAACTCTCACCCTTAGATAAAAAAAAAAAACATTGATAAGAACAACCTGAGATCCACAAAGGAAAAAGCCTCTTTCCACAGCAAGTTTTACTTCATCATAGCCTAATGGGGCAACATGGACGTCCTTCAGCTCAGATTTAAAACTTTCTTCCAAAGAACAGTCATCAAAAAAACATCTTCCAAGCATGGCAGTGGTAACACTTGCAAATTCAAATAAAAAAAAACATAAATATTCTTAAAAAGGTCCAACAGGAGCTTCTTGATTGGTCATTCCCCACATGGGTTATTATAAAAATTGTTGTATTTTTGTAATCATCACGGTTGCATGATGATAATCACTCCATAAAAAAGAGCTTTTCAAATAAACTATAAAAATAACCCAAAATTTATAACAATCTGACATTCACAACAATGGCAAGTCTCTGTCACCTTTTGAGCAAAATGTAAGACCTTTTATTTTGGTCCTGAAACTTTATATTTACAAAACTGTACGTGGTCCTTGTAAAACATTGGCTTTTTTGATCATAGGCACCAAAAAGTGTTAGCTACAATTAAATATATTAACACCACTATCAACCTCTATAAATACTGGCTTGTTATTCATTACAAATCCCTAGAGAAGGAAAAAAAAATCACACCTAGAAAAGCATTTCCCAAAGATCAAAAAGTTTTACCATCTTTAAAGGTTTTTGTACTAAAACTTTTTCAGCTAAAAGGAATTTAAAGTACATTCTGGCGACTCTTTTACTGTAGTAAAGTCGATGATACATTCAGTTTAAAAATGCTAAAATCTCCTTCCTAACAAGGAACAACTTTTTGACCTCCCATTACTCACATTTTCAGAGTGAAACATTTATTGTTGACTGAGCAAACTTTTATATGTGAACAGCTGGCGCACTGTTCCTTTATACCCACTGGAGGTGCAAATAACATAGCAAGCTGCAATTCAGTGGCTTGGTTGTCAGGAGAAACCTATCAAATGCATGACTAGAATTTTAAGGTGCTTTATATGAAGTTAGGAAAAGACAAAAAACTTTTTTTTTTTCAAAGAGAAGAAGGATAAGATCATTTGATCTCTTTCAGAATAAAACACAGAACATTAATACATCATTCTACCTGGTTGATCAGTGCTTCCACCCTGTGGCCTGCTGAGGAATAACAGGAGCAGAAAGGCCAGCATTGGGATTAGAATTGAGCCCCAGCAGATCCTAAACTGCTTATTGGTCTCTAATCATTCTATTATGTCTCTTGTTCTCATTTAACCTTTTCTCTAAATTGCTTACTTTACAAATAGCACTGAATAAATTCAGCACCGCAGGGTAGAGGTGATAGATTTTTCCTCTATGCACAAGTTCCTGCTGTGCTATAATAAAAACAATTGACTTTATATTGGCATTAAAGTGATCTTTTCTTTGAAACAGCCGGATTACATTCATGCTCAGTTCTTCTTCCAACCTGTAGCCCCAGGTATAAAACACAAACCATCTGCTCTCTTTACGGAAGCTCACAAATGAACCCTTCAGAGCTATCGGTTGCCATAGAAATCTCATCAAAGGTAAAAACACATGTAATGAGACAATAGAAAAGGCTGTAATTGACAGTGTTTCCATTCAATTCCTCCTTCAAGTTTTATCAGATAAAGCAGTAACAAGATTAACATTTTGTACCAACAGAGGGGACCATAGTTTCAGCCGAGATCTTTCTGTGTTTCTCGGTCCAGATCGCAGCTTCCAGTGTGGAGCCGGAGCGCCCCCTGCCTGTGCAAAGTGCTCAAGGTCCTGAACTCCAGGGGCATGGTGTGAGGACTCGAGCTGGACGTGTATTCGTACTTCAGAGTGTCGTAGTAGTGGTATTTTACTGGCCTGCCTTGTGGGTCCAGGGGGAATGGCCAGAAGCCGTAGAGGTGTATCTCCTCACAGAAGCGAGTAGCCATCGTGTACATGAGTAGTCCAGTGGTGGGACGCTTGATGTGGACGTTGTTAGTGAGCCAGTACCTGTTAACATAAGCATATGGCTGCTGTTAGTTGATTAAATGAAGCAAAGGGGATGATTTCATTCAAACTGTGCACAGCAGCTCTTATCTGCATATGAGAGTTAACAAAAACACCCCAAACTAACATAGTTTTACATTTTGGTGATTTTACGCCCTGCTAAATGTGGATGAAGATCAATGTGAAGATGCAAGGTTAAGCTGCTCCAACATATGGTCTTTTAGGACAATTTTTCTTTCAACCAGGTTTGTCCTGATGCAATCTAACAGAAACATTGTCCTAATAAAGGTATATTCAAATGATTAAAGACTCTGATGAAACCAAAATATAATAATTGATGTTGTTCAAGCTTCTGCGATTAGATCTTTACAGTCATAAATATATAAATATATAAAAATAAATATATAAAAATACAGATTTAGGTAGGTCAGGATTTTACAAACACTGAGTAACATATTCATTTGTGGACTTTGGTACACTTTGTTTTAAACTAAGCTACAGAAAACAAGCATCTTTAAAGAACAGTGACCCTTTATCTTATGAATATTGTGTGCATAGTTTACATTTGGGTGGCTAAATATCAAAATGTCACAATAAAACTTTTTGTGTTTCAGATTAAGCCCTTGAAGCTTAAACAATAAAAAAAATTGTAAAACTAGACTGTGACTGTTATTGGACATTATGACAAATTAATACTTTGACAAAAAAAAAAAAAACGGACTTATAAATCTAAATGTTCACTAAATATAAATGTTAACTAAGTGTTTCCATCTGTACAAGTCCGTTTTTTCAAGAACATCACAATGATGTAGAGGACAATAAAACCCATGGATCAAATATGATACATGTTGTCAAAAGGTGGCAAAAGCAATGTTTTTTTTACCAATTCATGACTAACAAGAAGATTTTGTGCCAGACTTCAAAAAGGTTTGTATGCCACTAATCTACAGAGCCCGGGAATAAAGAGCATGGGAATAGACACAGGGAAATAAAGCGATAAAGCGTGCACAACAAATACACATTCATTCCCAATTTGTGGCCACAGCATAGGTACATGTGTGCAGGA